CTGGCGCGAGTATGTAGCTGCGTATACGACAGAAAAGGAGAATTAATTCCAGCTTTCCAACCGTTTAATGCGTTTTTTCCACTTTCCATAGTCGAAGTTTCGATGTTAATGGCGCCATGGGGCGCGAGGCAAGGACTCAACAACTGGGAGCGCGTGTGAAATATTGATAGCCCCTGTGTCAACGAGAATAATCGTGGGAGTCTTTCGAAATGTTCTCCACTATTCGAAATTTCAACTTAGTTTAACTTTGTGCACAGATCAGTGATTACATTACGATCTATATATTTTTCTTTCAAAGGATCAAGATTTGCGAGCTGCTCTTCCATTTCTGAAATAAAATTTTGTAAAGCTAATTTTGTTTCATCAATTCCTGTTAGATTTTACGTTCAGATTGATAGTGCCTCGTAGCTTGACCTGCGAATTGTCAATTTTCATTATACAGGTGAAAGTTCATCGTATCACGCCATGCAATTTTTCATAATTGTTCATAATTTTTTTATGAATTCGAGTTTCTATTAAAATTCTTCATTCTGTCACTGAAATAATCTGCAATTGTTCTTTCTATTATCGGCGAAATCGAGAATCCGGTGCTATACAGTTTTCAGTACTCTAAATTTCAATTTGATTTAATTTCACGTGATCTATACTTTTTTCCATTTGATCAAGACTTGCAAGGTTCATCATGTCACGCCATGTAACGTTAATAATTCTTTATAAATTCGAGTTTCTATTAAAATTCTTCATTCTGTCACTGAAATAATCTGCAATTGTTCTTTCTATTATCGGCGAAATCGAGAATCCGGTGCTATACAGTTTTCAGTACTCTAAATTTCAATTTGATTTAATTTCACGTGATCTGTATTTTCTTTTTTTTTTATCAAGACTTGCAAGCTGCTCCTCTACTTCTGAAGTATATTCCATACGCTTCAATAAAACTGTATCTGTACAAATAAAACTTCAACCTATAAAGGTTACCATACGCTCAACAGATTTATCGTAACTACTTTATGCTGTAACTAGGTTAGGTTCTCTCTTACATTGCATTATAGTTAGATTACGTTTAAGGTGCAGATAAAGTTGCATTTTACTGGAAACACGTTATACCATTGTTTTATCCGAGTTATAATCCACTTTACAAGTGCAACTGGATATTACAAAGTAACAACAAAAGGTACCGTGTGATTTAACGATACTTAACCTGAAATACACTATACCGCCGTTTAATCTGAACTCTAATCTACCCTACAAGCCTAAGTCGATACTAGAATACTAATAATAGCATAAACACAGTCAAGGGGTTAAAAATATGGCAAAAACAAGGCATTCAGTAATATTTAATCGCGTTTAACTCATAATGCTTCCCATTCTTTATCAGATTTGCCGTAATTTGTCTCGAAACTATCAGGTCATTAACTACATACATTCTGCGGATCGCTCGTACATGTTGAAAGGTATACTGTGTTTATATTTCACGCTGATTTTTTTTCGTTTCTCAAAAGTTAGATTATTCTGCTAAAAGAAAATATGTCGACACGTTCAATACTAAAGCCAGGAACATTTGTTCATTTTGATTTAAATGGACACCTGAGAAGGAGCATATCGGTCGTTGAACCTTCAATTTGAAGGAAACGGCAGTATAAACGAAACAATAGATTGGAGAAATCTATGGTAGTAGTGTTTTTTCTGCATATACATGTGAGAGACGGTTTCAACGGTTCAAAAAATGCCGATTTCGACTCGAGAGAGAAAGAACATGTTGGCTGCACGCTGCTAGAAACCACCGCGAAAACCATGTCGAAGTTAAGATGGGAAGTTCTTCTTCACTCTGCCTACTCTCCAGACGCCGCACCTTCGAACCATCGCCTGTTTCGTTCGATGCAACGCAGTCTGAAAGGACAGCACTCGAAAAATCTCGATGAAGTGAGAAATTGGGTCGGTAACTACTTCGCCTCCAAGGAACCTGCATATTTCTACCGTGAAATCCAACTTTTGCCAGAGAACTGGGAAAAGATCGTTCAAACTGGTCGTCGTTACTTCAATTGAGAAAAGAAATTGTAACAGCATTGCAAACTTAGTCAACCAATGTCTAAATGTCTAAACCGATCCACCTGGCAAGTCGATTCCACGTTTCCATTCAATCCTTCACAGCTATAACGTTTAATCGCAGTTGCAGCAGAGACGCGTTAGTGGTTGCAGAATTGCCCAATTTTACGGTCGATTGTCGATGGCGGAACAATAGCACGACGTCGAGACGCGTGTTGTGGTAAGAACCACGAGGTTCCCCTATAGCAGACGCTGGAAAAAGAAGCGTAAACGTGGGCAGACGGCCAGAGATGTCCGCCTCTCCTCGAGATTCTTCTGCCCTCGCGACGTCGATGACTCATCTGCACCGCCATCGCGGCCAAAAATATGCTTGCACACACGTAGTGCCATGCTGACGAACCGTGACGGCAGCATTGACGAACAGCTTGCCTCCACGAAGCTCGATTGACTCGAATTAAAGATGAATTGAACCCGCTGGAAGAACTATTGGGGGAAATTTGCTGCGCTAAGTGGTAACGGTGGTATCTCGTATCTCGGTTAAAGATTGAATCACTTCAACGTAAAGGAGTTGATATGAAATAGTTAACCGAGTGGTTGGTTTTAAGAGACCTCGAATGCAATTCTAGCCAAGTGTATCTAATCTAACCTGATTACTAGCACCGCCACCGATTATTCGTATTTCGAGACTTTCGCGCGAACTATTGATGTTTTCCCGGTGAAAAGGGAATTCCCTCTCTCTCGGTGTATACTTTGCCGGAGTTTCTCTTGGTTAAACAAGAAATTAATGGAAATATAAGAGGGTTAAACGTAGCAGATGAAGAGTTTTCAGAAATTTCCGTATCGTGGAAGAACTTGAAAGTTAATAATTATTGGGTAGAGTTTCTGGTAATTTCTTAATTGGCAGGCAGAACAGAGATTGCTCGATGAGTAAGTAGCTTTTATAATTATCTGTGCGCGAGCGTGTCTGTGTGTTGTAAGAGGATTGAAGAACATCGGGAGTTTGCTGCACCGTTAATGAAAATACACACACGTTCCTTGAAACCGTTTTCCTGAGTTTGATTTTGCGTAATTTACGAGGCGAGCCTGCGTTGATGCCACTGCCGTGACGATAATCAGAGGCAGACGGTAAACATTCCAGAAATAACCCTGGAGGAAAGTACGTTTTCACGTTTCGCCATGTGAAAATATCCACCGATACAAATACATTTCTTCGATTGAGAAATCCGAAATATAAAAGCGTATCTTAGCTCTCGAATATCTGTGTGAAATTTCTAAAAAGATTTTCAAATTATTACAAATATATACCTGCAGTTACTTCATTAAAAATATTAATTTTTGCTAAGTGTCTGAATATTTGCGTAACATAGTAATTGGACGTAATTAAGATTAATTAGCACTACAACGTCATATACGAAAATGCGTTAAACCTAAATTACAATAAATGACATTTTGTAACGAAAAAGCATCAACCTAAAATAATTTCATAATTAAGTAAAATTCGTCACTGGAAAGGCGAAATATTTATCGGTGTAACTGTGTAATAAAATTTACGTAATATTATTCGACCAAGTGTTAATTGAAAAAATCAGTCTCGAAAGAAATTGAGAAGAAGATTCGTTTCGAAAGAAGATTCGTCGAAATTGAAAAGAAGTCTGAGCTCGTGTTTCGATGCAACTTCCATTGAAAACCATGAAACAGTAAACTCCTCCGACAGTTCTGCACGCTCTCTTGCTCGAGAGCCCTCATCCAAAGATCAAAACGAGTATTTTCGCTTGGTAATTCAGTCTGAAAAACTGCCACGACTCGTCTCCCGACTCTTCTTCGGTCACGAGCACAACGACGAAGAATTAAACGACTCGATTAAGAGCTCTATATAACGTAGTTCTGTGGCGCTCATGTGACGCTAGCTCGTAATCGAACGAAGCTCAACGTCTCTCTACATATGTACACATCACGTAATACACCTCCTCTATTCCCTTATTCAACGAACTTTTCCACCAGTGAGAATTCCAGTATTTCCATGAAAGTGAATCTTCCATGACAAGATAGTCGGTCTTCGAGAGGACTCATTAGCAGTTCGACACACCTAGGCACACGATATTATATAAATATGCGACGGGCTTCGCGAACAGCTAACATATTGATCCATCCGTCGTCCCCGAAGGCAATGCGTATACGTCTCTTTCAAGGAAACGCAGAAGAGGTTGTTCGAGAAGGGGAGAGAAATTGGAAGTTCGAGAAGGGGAGAGAAATTGGAAGTTCGAGAACTTGTTGCGATTTTGCCAATTCTCAATGAAGATGTTAACGTGACAATCCTCGTTCTGTTGTACGGTTCCTTCTCACGATAAGTTACAACGGTCAACGTGTATCGAAAGATTGATCGTTATCTCTGATTATTACGAAGGAGATCAAGCGATTCTGAGAATATTCAGGGAATTGTTACATCGGTGGCTCCCCCTTTGCGGCGCATTTTTGGCCAATCAATAAGCGCGTCTATTACGAAGCTTGGGGAAAAAAAGCAACGGGTCGTTAGTGGTAGATCGATAAAGTCGCCCTTTGAACCGACCTACTGATGACACGATCAATCGTTGTATCGCGAATCATAATTGACACGAATGCTCGTGCCACGACAATTGGTCGCACGAAGGAAGAATCGCGAATCGGCGACACCATTAGACCTGAATCACTTTGACCTAAATTCCACGCGTGTCGTGCGGAAAAAATAGGTCACCACTCTCGAAAACTTTTCACGCACCCTCTAACGCGTACTATACGCTGTGTATGTACCTTAATCACCGAGATTCACCAGCGTACCCCATTGAGAGTAGAACGCAAAAGGCGAAAAGAGGAAAAGTATAAGGCGAGGGGTTGAAAAAGAGAAGAAAGAAAAGAGAAAAAAAAGGAGAAGAAGAGAAAGGTGGAAAAAACAAGAAAGAAAAATCCGTAGCTCGACTGACCTGATTCTCGGAGTTGAGCAGCTTCAGCTGTTCGTTGATCAGGCTGTACTTGGTGCTCTCCTCCTTTCTCAGCGCTCTCTCCTTCTTGAGCTCGGGACTCCAGAAGGTCTTGATGCTGTGCATCGAGCTGCCGAGCTTTTGGTTCGTCAGCTCGAGCTCCTTCTTGAGGTTCCCGAGCTCTCGTTGGAGATCGTTGTTCTGATGCTGGAGTTCACCGATGTACCCGCCGCTGTCGCGCAGCATGTGAGGATTAGGGCTCTGCCTAGCCGATCTCGAACCGTACAGGTCATCTTCCAAATAGAGTCCACGGTCTCTGCTACGTTCACGAGGATCACGTATGGGCAGGAACTCGCGATCGTGATCGAGGATACCCGCGGATGCACGATCCAGGCTGGTGTACCGCGCCGACATGCCCGCCGAGCTGGACATGGCGGGTCTCGAGGCGCTTCTGGATCTGTGATGTCCGCCCCCACCGCCCCCGGTTGACATACTCCTGCCCCTCTCCTCGAGCATCACGGGACTGGCGAGGTCCTCGTCGCGGGAGTAGTACGGACTGCCCAGCTGATGGTGATGGTAGCTGCCGTATCCGAGGTGCTCCGGCGAGTTGTTCCCGCTACGGGTTACTCTCTTGCGACCTAATGGACTGCCGCGACCGCTGGCATAGCTCCTCGACGGGCTACGGTCGACCGTGGGCAGCTCGCCCACGCGACGACCGCTTCGCGGCGAACGAGTACCGCCACCCGGCCCTACTACTCCACTTCCGCTTGAGTACGGGTCCCGTGACATCCTGCTACGCTTCGCTGTGTTACTGCTGCTGCTGCTGCTGCTCTAGATTACTACCTCTTCCGCCTTCTCGTGGAGGTTTCGCTAGGTTCTCTTCTATAACGACGTTACTCCCTGGATAACTTGCTGTCGCTTTTTCTACGTGCGTGATGATTCTCGTTGTGACGAACCGTTTTCGAACAATTTTCTCACTCTTTCGATATTTCTCATTCACCAATGATATTCTCGAGTGCGATTAATAGACGGTTCTTTCTTTCTTTCTTTCCTTCTTTTTATTCCTAAATGGTTCTACAGTGTTCTATGATTCTTAACTATATGTATGGACCAGTGAAGAACATCTCTTCGAGCACGTGCGTCTGGTAGATTCTTTCTATATTCCACGATGTCCATCTAACCGAGACGTCTTCGGATTCTTCTACTCTACACGACAATGTCCGTCCACGAGAGGCGACCATTGACTTTGCACACCACCGCCTAACACGTTGATCGACGAACCCGTTCACCGATCGATGATCCACGCCTCATTGTTCGGAGATCCACCTTTTCTTCTCTCTCTCTCTCTCTCTCTCTCTCTTTCTCTCTCTCGCTCTCGCTCTCGCCTTCTCGTTCCCTCCACGCCAAGGATCCACCTTTGTCGCTGGAAAGCTGTACCGCACGCGTGGCCCGTCCCGTGTATGCGTGAGGTCACGACCCTCGTACTCGACGATCGATCTTTGACCTTCTTTCACCGGCAAAGCCCATCGAGTGGAGATGGATAGAGATCGAGGGGGAGAGAGAAAGAGAGGAGGACGATCCCGTTCCCTAAACGATATCTTCCGGCTTCTCGCGGCGGTTCCACCTTCTTTAACAACCCTCCTCTTCTTCCGGTTCTCTCCTCTCTCCCTCGGCCTCCTTCTCGCGGTAACTCCGGCACTGTGACGGTCCCAGGCGGTTCTTTGACTTCCTTCGCCGCGAACGCTTTGCTGGGACACCGTGGAGAGCAGAGCGTTTGTGCGGCGCGTGCGTGCGTATTTTACGCGCGTCTGTTTACCAGCCGTGTGTGCCTACACGCGTTCCCGTTTCGCGAAACCCGCACCACCTCGCCGGCTTATCGATCTCATCCTCTCCTCTACTCTCTTCTCTGTCTGTCTTTCTACCGTCTAGTCTTCTGCTCCCCTATCTATCTCTTCCTTTCTCTCCTCTCTCTTTCTCTCTCCGTCTGTGTCCGTCTCTTCTTCCTCAAACTTCCCTCTGATCACCGGGGACGCCGACGACAGCCACGAACACGACGTGATGACGCCGACGACGACGACCACGAAGACCACCACGATCCACCGATCCTAACCAACCTACCGCCCGAACCGCCACTATCCACCATCCACCGCGGCTCGACACCGCCACACTTCCGTACACCACTCGCTTCTCTCTACCCGCTACCGCCACCAACCTCGCCGCCCGCGCACACACCTACGTGCCCTCTCTCTGCCGTTCACCCCTTTGGCTCGCCCTCTCTTCCCACCCTCTCTACTCTCCCACCCTCACGAACGCGACGATACACACGGAACTCTGGCGAGGCGGAAGCGTGCCGGAAAAATTCCTTCACCCCCAAGTTCTATGCTCTTTCTGAGAGAAAGCAGAGCACCACCGGGCATACGCCACTCTCTTCACGCACTCACTCGACTGAACTGAACCACCCTTTCCTCTTCTTCCTTCGACTATGTACGTTCTATTGCTCTGCTACTCTTCTCTCCTCTCCTCTCTCTCGCTCATAATCTCTCACTCACTGTCTCTCTCTCTTTCACGCCCGCTCGCCGATCACACGAGCACGTCGCCTCGTGTACGCACGCCACTACGATTCTCACCACCACCACCGGCTAGTACTACTACTAGCAGCGATTAAGTGGACCGCGTCGGTAGCGCCCTCCGTCGACGTCATCGACGTCGGCGACTACTACTATCGCGACCACGATCACGCCGCGTCGTTCGCTCGATTCTCGCCGTTAAACCGACCCCCCCCACCACGCTCTCTCTAAGAGACATTTCCCCTACGACGCTACCCCCACCACCGCTCCCTCTCAATCACCCCTGTGGCGCAGATGCCTGCGCGGCCGCGCGCGCAGATCCATGCCGGCTGCTACACATACGTGGGCACCGTCGTCGGAGGATTTTTTGGACCAGCTCGAAA